ATATTTAACTTTATAATGCTATAACTTATTGAAAAGTTTATGGATCCACACAATTTTTTTATGAGAAATAATATTTTTTAATAAACCCTTTTTCATTCGACATACTTTATCTTAATCGAGATATTAATAAGGAACCAGCAGATCAAGTAGCTTTTGGAATAAAACACCAATTTTTTTAAAATTAAACACTATCTAAAGATTTGCATCGAAGCGTTTATTTTTGATAGTGATTTTAATCACTGTCAGATATCATTATACTTGATCCAACTATACCACGTCACAACTGCCATAACTTTATGCCATAAAAATTGCCATAACTTTTTTAAAAATGACCGAAATAATATAACTTTTTTTTTTATAGATGCATATTGTTTATCAATATATTTGAATAATAATTTACATAAAAAAAAATGTACCATTATTTAAAATTAAAATTATATTATTTTAAAACTAAAAAATATTTAAAATATTTAACTCAAAATAATTTATTTAACGAGTCTCATAACAAAATGCAATTAAATCGGCAAAATATTTTATTATTCTCATTTTTTTTTACCTAAATATTTGAAATATTATTATTTTTTATTTGTTACGCATATCGTTTATTACTTTTTTCAATAATTTTTTAATATTCAATAATATTTATTTATTTTCTATACCTTAAATTTGCTTTTAACTTAATTATTCGTTTGTTGGTCCAACTATATTTAATAAATTTACACAAATATCAGTTTTGTTGTATTTAATACTGGCGTATTCAGAAATTTGAAAGAATAGTATTTAAATTAGTAATTAAATCAATTTAATAAATCAAATTAATGATCGTAATTGATCATGAAACGATCAACTAATACTGTTAAATTGATATTGTACCTTATCAATGGAATTATTAAATATCAATAAAAATATGATTTACGTTTACTTTTTTTTCACGTTTACAAGTGAAAGTAGACTGTTGTTGAAAAACATGTGTGTTAAAAATTAAATATTTTAGTCAATTATAACTAATTTTATGTAGTTATTCGTCAACAACGGAAGAAAATGCAAGAAAAAGAAAATAAAAACTATCATTAATAATATTTCCTTTATAATTGTTTTAAGAATCTATATTATAATCGTTTCATTTTATATTAATAATATTAAAATAATTCTATTATTTATTGCTTTTATTTCATACATTAAAAAATATAATAATTTCAGAATTTATTGCAACTACTCATTCCGTAGTAAGATTACTTTTAACAGTTTTACTTTCTTATATAATGTTATAAGCATATTTTTTATTATTATATTTGAATAATAATTAACATAAAAATAAATGTACTATTATTTAAAATTAAAATTATATTATTTTAAAACTAAAAAATATTTAAAATATTTTGTAACGTCACAAATTTGAAGGTGGACCGTTTATGATTTTTTGTTATGTCTACTTATTTATTTTATCGCGCGAAAAAACCTTTTTCTGACACAGCGGTGTCAACCACTCATTATTTTGCCTCTGACTGCTAGATAAGGCGATAAAAGAGAAATATAATTAAAATCGAATTGTTTATCAGTATTGATCCCTTCCAAAAAGACTGGCCGTTATCGATATGAAATTGCCGTTAGATCGGTGTTGACTCTTCTCTATTCTTTCTTCTGTCATTGACCGTGCTAGGGTGCACACATTTGTTGTTTTATTGACATATTTTTCAATGATGGAGTAGAACCGCCAACGGCGAACGGCCAGATCTTTTCGGCGAAGCATCCAGACCATCGGATGGGTCTCTTCGGAGACCGGGTATCGTTTTCTTTTTTTATATTATATTTATGTAATGAGCTATATTTTATTAATTATTTTATTGTAAATTAACTTAATTTTGTTTATGTGTGGAGAGCACGTGTTTCCCTTTTCTTCTAGCCAACGCTAAGGAGCGAGTGTCCAGACCGCTCCTGGTGTTCTTCATTAATTTCCTGTTAACATTAACGGATGTGTTCCAATACCGTCCGTGATGTTTGTAATATTATTTGTTTAAATATTTTATTTTATTTGTATTGCCTTTATTTGTAGACATGGTTTTTGATGCATTCGCATTTTTGTCCATGTTTAACTTAATTTTCTTTTTTTAACAATTAAATTAAATTTCCTTATTAATTTCAATTGTAATATTTATTTTATTGCGCGAGTAACTTAATTACTCGCGTGTATTTCATTCCTATTCCTTAATCTAGACACGGGCTACGGTATGTTTTACATATCAACCACATACAACTTTGATTGTCATAATTGTGTTCTATAAACCACGAGGCATTATAGTAATTTATACATATAACGACATATTAACTTAGATTATACTTTTAATTAACTTAAAATTAAATTCCACCTATGGTCCGGTAATCATATCTGATAGGTGTGACACCTCGCCTAGGTGGTGGCGACCCTTGCTACTCTAGCTAGTCGTTATGCAAGTGGCAAACCACGTTGTTGTTACAGGCCGATTTACTAATATAAAAGCCCGTTTGCAATTTAACTCAAAATAATTTATGGTGTTTGAGGCGAATATGAGGATGATTGAGTTACTATATATTTTTTATATAAAATTATTTAATATAATTTTCTCTCGGGATACGAATACGAAGGTTTTATGAGAAGATGTAAGATATAGAAAAACAAAGTGATATTTGAAAATTTATTGTTATAATAATATCAATAAATATAATAAAAAATAATACAATTAATAAGTGGGTGTAAAGATTACAAATTTTTATAATTTTATAATATTTTATTAGATTAGTGAATATTCTTTACGATTATGTCATATTCATCTTGTAGTTTATCAATACTTTGAATATGACCAACAATTGTTTTTTTAATATATGACTTTAATTTTAATACTTCCAACAATACATCAACTAAGGTGTAATCTACAAAATGTAACAATTTAAAGAAAAAAATAGATTTTTTTATATAATTTTTTGAATAATTACTTTCGTTTACAATACTTGTCATAAAATCATTCACAGCTCCATTGAGATTTTCATGATTTTCCTAAAATATAAAATACTTCGATTTAATTATATAAAAGTCTAGTGAAATAGTTATGACCATTATAGATGATATCTGTCAGATGTATCAATATCATAAAAAAGTCTTCGATGCATATGATAAATTTCACAAACATATAAACAATAGACAATATTCTCATTTATATATAATTGTATAATTGCTATGTTTAAAATTTCACTCAAATATAAAAATAATTTTTGTAAAAAATTGCAAATTATTTTATTTTAATATCCGATTTCTCATAATAAAACAATCATTAGACACAACATATTTTAATATTTTGATACACTTCAAAATCTAATTGTTTAAAAGTTGGTAGAATTACCGGAACATTTTCGAATATTAAATTGAAAAACGAATGTTTATTTTAGCGAATTGTCTTATTCAAATCTGTATTTAGATTTTTCATTAGATTTTCATAAAATGTAAACCAAAAGAAAATTTATAATCATTTATAGTCAGCTTCGATACAAAGCCGAGAAGATATTAATTTTACTATGATGTGTTATTGTTATTTTATTTTTTTGTATCTCTTTCCACTATTCTCAGCTCTCACTGGACCGATTCTTTCAACGACACGTCAAAAGATCAAAAATAATATCTAGTCGAAGACATTAATCTTTAAAATTGAAAAAATTTCCCTCATTCTCCGCAAATGGGGGAAACATCCAAAAAAATTACAAATTTAAATTCGTTAATTTTTGAAATTTTTAAAATTTTGTTTACTAAAAACTGCCGTAACTTTTTCAAAAATGAACAAATCAATATACTTTTTTTTTTTATAGATTTATGATATCATTACCTATCATTTTGTATATTGTGTTTATAAATTTAACCCTTTACCTGCCCACANTAACTTTTTCAAAAATGAACAAATCAATATACTTTTTTTTTTTATAGATTTATGATATCATTACCTATCATTTTGTATATTGTTTTTATAAATTTAACCCTTTACCTGCCCACAGCGGGGATTTAAAATGACAACTTTTTCACAAAAAATCAACTTTTTCACAAAAAATTAACTTTTTCAACTTAACTTTTGAAAATGTTCCGGAAGGTCTGACACTTTTATATATATCTTAAATTAAAACTCATGTAATATACATTAATTTAAAAAAAAAAAAAATTGACCTCTGGACTTGTTTTCGTGGTGAAATGGCTATTGAATGCTATTTTCATGTGAAAATTCTCGATTTCATATTTTACATTTTTTACTTTAAAATGCTATAACTTTTTAAAAAATGTATGGATCAACACAATTTTTTTATGAGAAATAATATTTTTGAATAATCCATTTTTCATTTCACATACTTTATCTTAATCAGGATATTAATAAGAAACTAGCAGATCATGTAGCTTTTGGAATAATACACCAATTTTTTAAAATTAAACACTATCTATAGATTTGCACCGAAGCGTTTTTTTTTTTTATAGTGATTTTAATCACTGCAGATATCATTATACTTAATCCAACTGTGCTACGTCACTACTGTGCCGTGGCCCCCCCTGTGATGGGTGTTTTTTATATTAAAATCTTGAATGTTTCTCTTTCATTTAAAATAATTTCTTTTAATATCTAACACTTAACCTGCTCACAGAGGGTATTCAATATAAACTTTTTCAACTTAAGTTTTGAAAATGTTTCAGAAATACTACGTCCTCAAAATATTTTAAATTAAAGCTTATGTTACAAACTATAAGTAGAAAAAAAAATGTATACCGACTTGCAAATGGCCGTCGTAGTTAATCATGCAATTTTTGTATTCAATTATTTTTTTAGCTTCGATGTAAAGGTAAGAATATATTAATTTTACCAAGATTTTTTTTATTTATTTTATAATACCTATACAAATGTTTGTCATAGTAATGAGTCCATTAATTTTTATAAAATTTAAATGAATCTATCTTAGATTAAATACTAATTTAAACTTATTTTAATTATTTTACCTCCTCAAAGTTTAGAAAAGCGACTTTGAATTTTTGAACTAACTTAAATAGTTCTTATAATCTACTTATTCATGACGATCACAGTGGTTTCGTTGTATATTATACAGTCTTATAAGCTCGGAGTACAATTTATTAACTTGACCAATTTTAATAACTAATACGTCAAAAGAGTACGATTCTAATCATATTGAACATATGATTACTAAATATTGGAAAAAAATTTCATTCTAACAAAATTATACTACTGTAAAAAATGGACAACTCAAAAAATTTTTTTAAATTAAATATCTTAAAATTAATAAGAGTATAAAATTTGTTTTTATATTTAATTATACAGTAAACTTATATCACTAAAACAAAATATTTTTTAATGATCATATATTCTACTAAACTAAAATTTGCAATTTGACTTAAAATCTGAAATTAGTGTTTTTCTATTACTTAATTTTTGGGATTGTTACTAATTAGAAACCAAGTATTTACATATTAAACAATTTTTTTATCAGATGATTATTAATTTTGAATAATAATCTGTGTAAAATTTCAATTCAATGTTTATTTTTTAACTTATTTTTTAGATCCTTATAGTTAATTTTTAAAAAAAGTTTATAATGTACAAATTTTAAGTTTTAAACAATTTCAACTCAACTTGTAAGTTTAGAATTTATATCATTACATAGAAAATTTTATGAGGACTAAAAAATTGTATTTTTTTTAGATTGATATGTGACATGGAATTTATATAATTACTATTAACAAAAAATTTACGAGGAAAAATCAACAATTTGTGAAAATTATGGATTCTTCTATTTTTATCGCTTAACTTTTTTCTTCATTATTTCTTCCCCATCTCGGAATATAAATTTTAACAAAATTTGAAATATGGGTTTAACAAGTGTTATAGACCAGTCTTAATTAGAATATTATTTATTAAATAAGCTAGTTAATTATCTATGTTAATCAAAAGATTCACAAACTTATTGACACTAACTTGCCATCTATCAATATTATGTTTTTTTTATTAATTAAAAAAGCTGAATTTTTGAAAAAAATTTTATAAAATACCGTATACTTTTATAACATATACAGAGTGATTTTTTATCATAACCCACTCAATTACTTACAGAATAATAATAATTAANAGTGATTTTTTTATCATAACCCACTCAATTACTTACAGAATAATAATAATTAAATTTTTTTTTTTTTGGTTATCTTTAGTTACACATTATTCTTGAATTATTAACTATGTAATACTTTTTAAGTTCATCCCTTATGCATTGTAAGGGGGTCAACTTTGTTTTTAAATGGAAACACATATTTTTAATTTAATAAAATGTTTGAGTTTTTAATTTAATAGTAAATAGCATTTGAAATTTTAATATAACTTTATTTGTTTATTAGATATAAACATTTAAAGTTTCAAATTTTTGAGTTAATATACAGGTATAATACACAAGAGATTACAAATATAGGTAGCTAATTTGTTTTTTATGACATCGATATTAGCAGGTACACAGCATTGATATCACTATAAATGGTAGTAAGGCAAATTCTTGTGAGTTCATAAATACACTAATTGACTTACTGAACACCCTATATAAAAAGTCTGTCTATTGATAGTCATAATTGATAATAAATATCCGTGACTGTGACAGCCATATCATAAAAACCATTTAGCTACCTGTATTTTTAATCCCATGTGTATTATACATGTATATTAACTCAAAATTATGAAACTTTATATGTTTATATCTAATAAGCTAATAAAGTTATATTAAAAATTCAAATGCCATTTACTATTAAATTAAAAACTCAAGCATTTTATTAAGTTAAAAATATGTGTTACCATTAAAAAAAACAAAGTTAAAACCCTTATTAGGCATAATGGATGAACTTAAAAAGTATTACATAGTTAATAATTCAAGAATAATGTGTAACTAAAGTTAACCAAAAAAAAAAATATTTATTATTATTATTCTATAAGTAATTGAGTGGGTTATGACAAAAAAATCACTCTGTATATTGATAATGATTTAGAATTGCTTACAATTTTTAAATAAAAAAATTCTAATATTTTTGGTTGTAACAGATTGAGTACGAATTTCTATAAAATAAACTTTGTGATCTATTAATTTGATTTTTCTCACAATAAAGTTAAAGTTTGCATATTGGTAAATTGGTAATTCAAAAAAATTGACTTTGATTTTCTGGGTTAATAAAGAAAAAAGAAATAAAATATATAATAATTATTGTGAGGGGGCACTGATTTTTTGATTATAATTCATATAAATACATTTCTATAATTTTATTAATTATTTTTTCAAAATTACTCTGAACTTTATTATTTATACATTAAAAAAAGTGTCAACAGAAATTTTTAACGAAAGAGCAAAGTATTTTTTAAATATCTTGTTTCACTGTCAGCTCAACAAATCTGGTATTAAAGGAGAGTGTCCAATGTCCAGAGTCAAGAAACCACCTTTTTTTGAAGGCTTTACTAAAGGCGCAATAAATAGAAGCTTAACTCCCTCCACATAATGTATTAGCACCCCAATACTATTAAAAAATAATGTATGTTATTATGTATGTACATGGATAGTGTTTTATAGGGTAGGCAGAAAATACAATTAGCATTATCAAAAATGTTATTTTAATATGCGCTTAAAGGCACTCGCAGAAAATGATTATAAATCAGAGATTTTTTAGTAATTTTAGGTATTATTTATAAAATTAAGCGTCTCCATAAATTTAATAAATAAAAACAAAATCTGCATCTCATTAATCTATAAAAACAAAGCTCTTAATCCTAGCATACATAACACAATCTAATAAAAAGAAAAACTTTTTATCTTTTAATAAGAAAATTTAATTTTGTAAAATTATTTAATACATAACAATTGTGAAATTGGACCAATCAAAAAGTTAAGGGAGGTAATTGCCTCTTTTATCACACCCTGTAAACATCATGCATTAAAGAGAAAATATTATTTCTTATATGTAAATAATTACGAATATTTTAAAATGAATTTATAATTACGTTATTAAAAAGAGTTTTGAAGTCAAATGAATTAAAAAATTGAATGCATTGGTCCTTACTAATACTATTCATATTTGTGCCAATTCGACAAAATTCATTTAAGATATTATTAACGTCGTTTCCATACAGCTTTTCTAACTAAAGAATGCAAAATAATTTATTAAATGATTCATTTAAAAAGACTAATAAGCTAAGAAATATATGATTTTACCTCGATATCATCACCAGGCTTATTAATTTTAGACAAAAACATCAAAAGCTTCCAGATTTTTATGATTGTTGTATCTATAAAATATTGATATCGTTAGTACTGTGTGATCAAAATTTCATATTACATACTTTTTCTTGAAAATTATTGAAAATATAGTAAAGCGTTCTAAATAAAAAGTTTTTGTCATATCTTATTATATTGGCTTTTGGGATTCACGACCACCGTGCCATTATAAGAGTGTTCAAATACCATTTGATTTTTAACTATCATCGCGATTATTACTCATAGTGGCTATGACATCAACTTAAATTAGCTACCACTAGTATAGTGTGCGTGTGTGTCTCCGTCAGTACCCTGTTGGATTAATATCATCTCTAGGTGTCCAACAGGTTTTATTGCTCATTTAACATTGCGTTACACAATAAATATTTATATCGTTGTTAACTAAAAGTGTTATATATATAATATTGTAGTGAGACTTTAGTAGTTCCTCTAAGGGGATATAAATTAAATAGAAACCTCAGTAACTAAAATAGATATAGCCTAGCCAGTTATTCCCCGTTGGTTCCTTAGAATACTGCTGAGGAGCATTTCGGCTCAACATCTAAATAACAACGTAACAGTATATACAATAAATGTATCAATTTCATGGAAAGCAGAAGACGGGCTGGATTACCAAAACTTCTTTCAGAGTTATAGTGAGCCAAAAGTAAGTTTTTGGTTGTGATATAATATAATAAATAAAATTGGGTGTGTTGATTAATTAATTTGAATTTTGAGCACTTGAATAAATTTAATCATCTTACTTTCGGTTACTATAATTCAGTTTGTTTAATATTATTGGGGTCGTGGAGTCCGAGGGTTTTAGAGAATGACAATACAATTTAATAAAAGGGTTATGATAAATATTGAGATTTAATGTGTATATCAAATTTTATAAACTTTGATGAATCATTTGAATAGTCTCACGTTTCAAAGAGGACGAGCTTATGTCGGCAACTATGAAACGTAATAAGAAAATGCGTAGGTACGATCTTTGGTCAAGCACTTCGAACGCATTTAATAATTCTCTTGACAAACTAGTCAATAAATTTAGTATGTGTATTAAACTTATAAAGATTGGTAAATCACTTGAATAGTCTCACGTTTCAAAGAGGACGAGCTTATGTCGGCAACTATGAAACGTAATAAGAAAATGCGTAGGTACGATCTTTGTTAGGGATACTGTTACTTAATACATTGTCTTTGTAGATTAATTTACAGTGTTTACATTTATGATACAGATATTAATTTTAAACTGAACAAGTACAAACATTGTATTAATTACATTAGTGATTATGCTATGATATCAATTTAAGATAATTATTTGTTTTATGATAAACATTGCGAATAATATTAAATTTGAGCGATGAACGGTATCACAACAGAGTCTCTTGGACTAGAAACTAAAGCAATTGAAGCTACTTTAAAATTCATAAGAATGTCTGAATTACAAAACAAAATATAATACACAAATATCCTTAAATTTATCGTAATAATTCATGTTTAAACACTAGTAATAAATTGTTGAATAACTACATTGTAAAATACCTAAAATGTAAAATACCTAAATTGTAAAAACCTAAATTGTTATTGTTACCCAATGGCCTATGTTGCCGCGGGTATATACAGAGTGTTCAGTAAGTCAGGAAACGGGTTTCTATTGTTCTCATTGTTACAGACAATGAGAACAATAGAAACCCGTTTCCTGACTTACTGAACACCCTGTATGATAAAAAAAAAGTATATACAATATCTATAAGAGATAGAACCTTTTAGTTATTGTTTCAAGATCTATTATTAAGAACTAGGCTCCGCCTAGCTCGGACTCCGACCCAGACCCGGAGCCCTACTAGCATTACAGGCCTTCGGTGTGTAAGCCACTCCGGGCCGTCATCATGATTAGGCCACTGATTCCAGTAAGGGTACCTGGCTACGCCGGTCATGATAAATGTTTTGCAGAAAAAATATTACATTAGAATCAATGTAACAAAAATATATTAAAAATGTTATTATTAAAATCAGGAAAATTCAAAAAGAGAATATAGTAAAATGTATTGAGTATAAGGTTGACGTTTGTAAATGAGGTATTCAGAAATTATTTTAGGAGGGTATTTAATATTTTTTACTTTTTCAAACATGTTATAGAATTTATTTTTGCTTAAATTAAAGTAATGATCAAAAATAAGGACATTAGGTCCTTATTTATTAGAAGTTGACTAAAAAAATATTGATAGTGCTGGTTCGAGGGGAGCTCTTGTCTCCCTTAAATACACTCCTGGTATACACAAAAATTATTAATATTCTAATTATAATAATTGTGTTTATATTATAGAATAATTAAAAAAAAAGCCAGTATAGGAGGGTGACGGCACAGTGGTGACGTGGCATAGATGGATCAAGTATAATGATATCTGACAGTGATTAAAATCACTATCAAAAAAAAACGCTTCGATGCAAATCTTTAGATAGTGTTTAATTTTAAAAAATTGGTGGATTATTCCAAAAGCTACATGATCTGCTAGTTCATTATTATTATCCTAATTAAGATAAAGTATGTCGAATGAAAAATACTATTTCTCATAAAAAATAATGTTGATCCATACACTTTTTAATATGTCATAGCATTATAAAGTTAAAAATGTAAAAAATAAAATCGAGAATTTTCACATAATAATAGCATTCGGTAGCCATTTTCATCGTAAAGATAAAATAAAGTCCGAAATTTTTTTTTTGCATAATAAAATAAATTACATTAGCTTTAATTTAAGATATATATAAAAGTGTCAGACTTTCCGGAACACTTTCAAAATTTAAGTTGAAAAAGTAAATTTTTTGTGAAAAAATTGTCATTTTAAATCCCCCCCTATAAGCAGGTAAAAAGTCAGATTTATAAAAAAAATATACCAAATAATAGGTAAAGACATCATGCATCTATGAAAAAAAGAATTATATTGATCCATACATCTTTCAAAAAGTTATAGCATTATAAAGTTAAAAATATAAAAAAGAATTTTTTTACAAAAATCGTATTTTTTTTATAAAGTTTAATGTCTGTTTTCACCATGAAGATAAAATAAAGTCCAAAATTTTTTTTTTTTTGCATAATAAAGTATATTTCATTAGCTTTAATTTAAGATATATATAAAAGTGTCAGACCTTCCGGAACATTTTCAAAAATCAAGTTGAAAAAGTTAATTTTTTTTGAAAAAGTTGTCATTTTAAATCCCCGCTGTGGGCAGGTTAAGGGTTAAATTTATGAAAAAAATATACCAAATGAAAGGTAATAATATTATGCATCTATATAAAAAAGAATTATATTGATATGTTCATTTTTGAAAAAGTTATGGCACTTTTAAGTAAAAAAAATTGAAAAAATTTCGTGGGCGATTGGCAAACATTTTCCAACTTCGCCAATAATTTTCCTGGAGTCTGGTGACCGATTACTTTCGTTGAAAAAAAAATTTTGAAAATCCGAGCACGCTAAGTAATTTTCCTAGAAAAGTGTTTTTTTCCTTGTTCTATTATATATTAAGAATAATCGAACAAATATAGTTATAAAACATTAAACAATGTGTGAATACTTTTAATTAATATTAATATGATTAAGTATTTTCAACTGTGGTCTTTTTACTTATGAGATATTAAGTGTAATTTTTTGTTGCTCATATTTGATAGAAATGAGGATACAAAAGCATCGGTGATTTCTTTTTTGTCTGTTGTAGTTATATTGTATTCGATTTGTGTCTGACCACATGAAGTTTTCTGATATTTTATGGTTGATGCTAGACGTGAACCTTTCCACGAGTTGGTTTTATTTAACTTTAATATTATGCGTGAAACAGATCTGTTTTTTATATACTGAATAATCAGATTATAATATAATAGAAAAATAGTATTATCAACCTTATAAGGGGCGTGGTGTGGCGCGGTGGTCACACTAGTTGTTAACAAAACTCTAGTGTTAAGCCAAGCCCACCGATGTAGGTGAACGGATGGGTGACCATGCGTGCCCTTCTACGGTAGCGAAAAAGCACCATGTTCCCAGTGCAAAAGGCAACGGGAAACCAGTGCACTTAAATTTCCCCAAGATATACCAATGGTATTAACCAACCAACGGTTGTAAAAAAAAAAAAAACTAAAAAATGCTGACCAATTCGAGTTTTTTAATGACATTGTTTCTATTGTTTGATCCTTTAATAGATTTAAAGTAATAGGCTAGTGATAAATTAAGTTATACAATCATTAAACAGCCCAATCTAATGAGCCATCTAATGATGAAGATGCTATTATAAATGTATGAGAGAGAAATGTAAAAGATAAGTTTTTCATATGAAATAATAAAATATTGTATATATTTATTATAAGTATTTTCTCATGTATATCATAATAATGATCACTTTTTGTTAAGTACACATTTTCTCCATTCTAAAAATTATATGAATTATAAATTACCTTCTCTATTATAACTACTGTACGGTCTTTGTATATTATTTGCTTGTAAAGATTTTGATAGTAATGTGGAATTGTCATGATAAAATAACAAATTTCCAAAGAAGTTTATGTTTTGCGCAGTAAGTCCAATGCTCTTGAAATATTTAAATATAATCTTTAATAAAAATATAAATTAATAAATTAATAAATACTTACTGTTATTACTGTAAAAAAACATACTGAACAGAAGATTAGTATAATTTTTAAATGCATGACATTAATTTTTCTATTTAAGAAGCCAACGATTTAAAAAATGATTTTTCAAATATTTTAATTTTAGTTGAGTTATTGTATCTATTATGTTTAGCAATTTATACTGAAATAGTGTAAATATAATTATTTATTGTAAAGTATTTTTATTTACAAAAAAATAAAAAATACAATGTATTTAACATTATTACTGTCACACTTAAAAACAATTATTTTTATAATGACATCATTTATAATTTAATTTACCATTTAAACGTAAAAAGTATGGTTAAAATTTAAAAATCTTGAAATCTTGAAATGTCTTTTTTTGACGAATTAGTATACAAATATAGTAGTATGTTGTTTCTCTACTATTGTAAAGAAAAAGCAAACTAAAACAAGAAACCCTGCCCAATGGGGTCACGGCACAGTGGGGACGTGGCATAGTTGGGTCCAGTATAGATTTAATATGAGAGTGATTAAAATTACTATCATAAGAAATACTTCGATGCAAATCTGTAGGTAGTGTTTAATTTTAAGAAATTGGTGGATAATTATAAAGGCAACATCAACTATTTCCTTAAATATATCCAGATTCAAAAATATAATATAAAATTATATATTATATACTTTTTATAATGAATTGATTTCTAATTATTATTGATTTTTAATATGTTAAAAGTAATTCTACATTGGAAATAATTAATTTCTTAATTAATTTTAATTATTTACTTTAACTTATAGAACCAATAAAAAAAAATGTGTTAAAAAGATTTACTCAATTGAGCGTATTATAAAATTTAATTATAATTGTAAAAATCCATCATTAAATTTAGGTGAAACTAAAAATAATTTTTTTTTAGATTTATGGTTTATATAGCAACATGTTACAAAAAAATTTGAAATATTATAGACTGGTAGTAGCACACACAAATAGAATTAAAAAATTAATAAATGACAAAGTAAAATTATTTACTTTTGTAGTTGAATACTTTTATCATATCAAGTCTAATTCGACAATGAATACTTTAAAAATATTAGAAATTAATAATTTAATTGTTTGTATGGAAAAAGCTGGTTAAGCTACTTTTTATTTGAATAAGGAATATTTTTTCGATTTTTAAGAGTAATAACTTCAACTAAATACGAATTGTAATAATTTGATGTATCGTTGAAGAAAGTAGATTAAGTGAGAGTTGGGAAATCATAGCCACAAAAAAAAAACACATACTAAAATAACATTAACATGAATAAGAAATTTCTCCTTACGTGGGCAGATTACAGTGGTGGGAACCTTGATATTTATTGAAGTTATTGAATCTAAACGAGATAAAAATCAAATGATTGCAAAATTTTTTTCTAACAAAAAAAAAATGCAAAATAATAATTGCCGCAGGCAGATTCGAACCACGTACACTAAGATTGAGAAACAAAAGAGTTACCGGTTCAGCAACTGTTCGTCACTTTTGAGATTTGATAAAACTATCAATTTATGCTGATTTAAAATTTAAAGTTAGTTTTTCGACTTTAATAAAGTAAAAAATTTAAATAAGNAAAATTTAAAGTTAGTTTTTCGACTTTAATAAAGTAAAAATTTAAATAAATTTAACTTATTATGTCTTAAGAATTTTATTCTATGTCAATTAAATTATATAATATTCATGAAAGTCAGTTTATGAAGATATTTTAAAATAAAATCAAATACAAAACATAGAAATTCTATATTTCGATTTTTTTTTTCATTGTAAAGTATATGAAATAAGCTTTAATTTAAAATAAAATAAAAGTGTCAATATTTCCGGAACATTTTCAAAAATTATATTAAAAAAGTCTAATTTGTGTGCAAAAATTGCTTTTTTGAATTACCTCTGTGGGCAGGTTTAGAGTCGAATTTCCAAAACAATTATATCAAATGAAAGAAATATATCTAAGGTTTCGATATAAAAATAATTATTTTAATTTGTTATGTGATGGTGTCACGTTTTCATAATCGTGAGAATTATTTTAATAAAATACAGACAGCACATCCGCTGCCTGAGACTGATGAATTAACAAATAATATTTATTGCCAAATCGGCAATAAGTGTAATTATTATAAAAACCCAATAGACCTGACCATCGTGGTCAGTCGACTCCAGTGCCTTGTGTCATTCATCAGTCTCAGTACTCGGTTGTCGCTGTCCGGCTTACTGTTTAAAGTAAAGTCTTTGTTTATTCCTTTTCTAACCTATATACTCTTTTCCTCGACATTTCAGAGTACTTGTGTCTTGCACTTCGTCTGCACCTCGTACTCTGTTATCTTTCCTCACCTGGTACACCTAGTATTTGTGTCTTGCACTTCGTCTGCACCTCATACCTAGGTGTTACTCTTATTCTCCCTTCCTATAACAACAGCCTTTCGACACCCACAGCTAACCCGGAGTGTCAGCCGAGCACGGTGACTGCTGTACGACAACACGCACGTGAATACCTAGACAGCAGGCACCACCTCCTCATATTCATTTTCGTACACATAGTTGCACTTTCACACATTTACCCATTTTTACTTTTTACTGTGTTACGACAGTTAATTTTTGAAAAAATTATGGTAGTTTTAAATTTTTGAATATTTCATGTAAAACAGTGATTCTTTCATAAAAATTACATTTTTCGTTAAATTTGACGGCCATTTTCTGATAGAAAATAAGTTAATGGGAAAAAATTTTATTTGTTATTTTATAGTACATGATATAACCTTTAATTTGATATATGTTTAAAGAACGCAGTATTTCCGGAACATTTTCAAAAGTTAAGTTTAAAAAGTTCTACTATTTACGTATGTTTCAAGTTTTAATCCCCTCCTGTATAATGGAAAATGGTCCAATTTTAAAAAAAAGTATGTCAAATGAAAGAAGTAAACATAAAATGTTTATAAAAAAAAAGTGTATTGATCCATACATTTTTCAATAAGTTATAGTTATTTAATGTGGCAATAGACAAAATAAAAAAAACACATCATGGTAAAATTAATAACTTCTCAGCTTCGCTTAAAACTAAAATTATATATACGTCATTTTGCAATTATACGATTTATATTTCTTTTTAAAGTAATTTTTCGCCAGCAGAGTCATACCAATGCGGTTGGCCCGTATGCCTAATAGTTACAATAACAAGTTATTTAAAGGGGGAATGTGATTACTCAACATATAATTAGTATGTTTTTAAATAATAGATTTTTCACATGCATAAATTGATATTTAAATTTAATCGGTCGTCGCCAAAATGCCAATGTAATGACATTGAACAATAAAATAATTTTACACACAATGAGACGATATACTACAACCAATTCNCGCTGCTGTCACCAGCGGACTGTGACTGAAATAACTCGAAGTACAGGGCGGCTAAGTAAACCTAGCTGTCTCTTATATAAAAAGTAAAATAAATTACAGACAAGTCAGCAAATGGTTTTCTTACCTTAGTCAAAGTTAATCCGGTTTGTATCCTTGCCGGGGAGCCAGTTGATAGAACTTAAACGTCGTTTAAGATAAATGATGTAGTCGACACGATTATAGTTATTTATCTTATGCGGTGCCGTTTATTAAACAATGATACATGTATGTTATATATATATATATATATATATACACTTTAAATTATTTTAAATAATGTACACAATTACTAAAAGACGAAAAGAAAAACACAAGTTGAGATGAACAGACACGAGATTAGGCACTGATTGACGATGCGGAAAGGCCGAANGTACGTACTGACTTAGGTGACGGTAGTGCCGGACACGACGAATATGACTGTCGTAGGCCAAGAGACGATAGAGGGGGTGGGTGATTATGAGCTACATGGAGCTTGACCAGGCTACACACGTAATTTTTTAACATCCCCCCCTCGGAAGATGACCACGTCATACGATTTAAGCTAAGAAATGGTACAGAGCACGACACAAGTTGATGGCATGGGTGGATAACTCATAACAAATAACAATATAAAATATAAAAAATCAGTACAGCAAAACAATCAGTAATAATAACATATTTACAAAACAATGGTATAAAGATAAATGTACATGTCAATTAATAACCACCAAATAAATGTTGGTCATATTAGACAAATAACACATAAATACATAAAAACGTAAACAAATCTTTATTTTAAGATAGAACATAATTTTTTTTTTCAAGTGTAGGAAACCACCGATCACATCTTTTATTGTTATAAAAATGAAATACAAAATATATATTGTCTCTCCCCCGTGATTTCCCCACTTTTTTTTCCAAACCGACATGATGCAATGCATAAACATAACGTATAAATATACTAAAATAAATAAATACACTTAGCGATATGATATATTCATATATAGAACGATAATTACAAAGTGGGTAACTTGACTATTTTAACGACAGGCCGCATTAAAGTTACATTTGCGCACGAAGAAGTACGACACGAACTACCCCATCCGCTCCTGGAAGAACTTCTTGTACTCTAACTGTGCGCCATTTATCAAAAATAACGCTACGCAACGGTTCGTTCCACGATAAGTTCATTTGACATACTTGTCGGACCAAATGTGTAGCATAAAGTATATCCAGACAAATCAAGGGGCCTTATTTCGAATCGCCCGTTCGTCAAACGGATTCTATTGTTCAATTAGGTATACGGCCTTCTAGGTGTTGTTCGATGAACATTTGTGCTCCACGATTCTTTGCAATTTATTGTAATAACATAAATAAATATTTTGAAAATTAAATTTATACAACTTGATTTTTAATAATAAAATATTTATTTTTAATTAATATATTACTTTTTAAGAACAATAATTTATTAGTAACACATACATTTATAATTTGCTAATTTAATTTATTCGATGTGAATTTATTTTAAGTAATTTGCCAAAACTGTACAAATAATTTAATTACACGAACTCTAAAAAAAATGTATTTACAATTGCATACATGTTAAATTAAAAATTATTAATACACTTTAAAAGAACAATACTTAAATTTTCGAAAATAGAGTGTTACATATATTTTATATAATTTTATTTTATTTGTTCATTTTAAGATTAATTAATATAATAATTAAATGTAATTTATTAAATTATGTTACATATA